ATTATTTATGGCTGCTTGGTATTTCTCATACCCATTTTATAAGTTTGTTTTTCTTCCTTTTTTATATAAAGGAAATATTACACAGAAAATTACCCAAGAAAAAAAGAAAGAATAGAACTCCTAATTCTCAGGTGGAAACCTACAAATTACTAGGTCTTAGAGAAGATTTTTGTCCTGGAATTAATAATAACTGTTGAAAAAACTTTTTTGCAATACCAGGTATCAAATGCAATGCCTTTCACATACTAGGTGAGCAATTTGCCACTGACCACCCCGTAGCTCAATTATTTTTTCCAATAATATTTTACTTCTTTAAAGGAACCTGAGAAGATTTTGCATACCCTGTGTTGATCTAGTTCTTTTTACTAGAAAATAGAGTAGGGAAGTAGGTCAGTGCTGTGCTAAAAGCAAAATGTAAGCACTCTCATTTTTTTCTCCCAGCATCATTACCTTTTCATCTTGGCTCTGAGACTGATACCAACAATACCCACTGGCTTCATGCCCTGTGACTTTTGTGGTCTGATCCCATATGGCATCTATCCCAGAGGAACCTTACAGTTGGCTCCTTGCTGAGGGCAAAAGCAGATTTGGCACTTAGGATCTTTGTGGAATTTGCAGGCAAGGTTCAAGAAGAGATGTATTTGCCTGTGACCAGACCTGTAAATGATCACAGAACCCATGGAAAACATTACTTTAGAGAAATCCAGCTGTGGACTAGTAAGGAGTGGTAGCTGGCTTCCAAGTCTTACTATAGTCACACTCTCAAGTCATGTTTCCTTAAGGGCATAACATTGGGAAAGAAACACTACCTCTGTGACTCTTAGTTGTTTCATCTCCAAAAACAAGATTATTCCAACTGGAGCGCTAATGATATTGTATGTTGAATGCTTGGCAAAGTTTTCTGGCAAAGAGAAATCCCTCAATAAATATAATTTGAATCTGAATCTGAATTTTTATGCTATAAAAGGCACTGTACTGGGTGCTGAAGACAGCTAGGGAATGAACAGAGTCCACTTTTCAAAGCCAATAAAATTCTCTTAAATAGAGATTTTACCAAGGGGTTTGCTGAGATTTGGGGTGACTGTTCCCACAATTAGTTCTCCTAGAGGAGCACACTGACTCTTTGCAGCTCCTGGCAACTGAGTACCCACAAAGTTTTGATTTCAAAAACATAATTTTGGTCTTATCTAAACATTTCTGTACATACAACCCCATGAAGACAAAAGAAAAAAGTCAGTTAGCCTCCACTAGAGATGAATATTAGCTAGGAAGTTGGGAGTCCAAGGGAGGACGAGCTTGGATGGGTTACAGTGAAAGTAACTGAACTACTAGTATACTGTGAGAATTCAGCGTGTGAGATTTAGTTATAATGCGTAGTGGGTGGGCTATAACTGCTTTTCTACATAAAAACTTTTGGTTGGTGTCTTAGTTACTTTTTACTCGTTGCTGGGACAAATACCCGACACACAAAATGAAGGAAGGAAAGGTTTATTTAGCTCACAGTTACTGGAGGGTTCAGTCCATATTCCGCTGGCTCCAAGGTAGAGGACAGTAGTTCATGCAGCAGAAAATAATGAAGAGCAGAGGAGGAGCAGCAGCTGCGGCATCCATAAAGCCTCTCTCTTCCTTCTGCACTGAATGCGAAGATCGGAGCTCCACAGTGAAGATTGGAGCTCCTCCAAAGTGGCCGCAAAGATCAAGCTTCTCCAAAGACTGGGACTTCTCCATGGAAGCAGGGCGGGGCAGCAGGAAACCAGGCAGGGCGGCTTCCTGCCTTTCTCAATTCCTGGGCCTTGCCCACCTGCAGGGCTAGGCCCCCACGCTGAGATCTGCCAGAGCTGACTCAGCCAAGTTGACACAATGTATCAACTAACACAGTTGGGAAGGTGTGATGGTGATATTTTAAATTTGTACAACTAGACATGGTTGTATTTGAGGGATTATTCTCCCCTTGACACATGATGCAGATCTTTGGAATGCTTATTTGCAAAATGGCAAGAGTGTTCATCATGTGACTGCAGGAAGAGAGGAAAGGAATCTGGAAAGGCAGCACCTTTGTGTGATGATTTTTAAAAACCAGGGTTTTAATTAGTCATAAAGGACTCGTTAAAAAAAATAAAATAAAGGACTCTTTAACATGCAGCACTTTAACATACTGTTTGTCTTTTGTTTGGCAGTGTGACTCCAGGGACCCAGGAGGACTTGCTCTTGGTCTTGTGTTTGAACTGGTTTGCCATGAACTATTCACTGTCAACCCAAGCTAAGCTGGATACTGTACTTGGCCAAATGGCAACTTAGTAATATTTTGTACTTTGGGGCCTAGTGCTACAGTTTAGCAGCTGGTAGTCATAGGGAAGGAACTTCTATTTTACATGTTGCCGTTTGAAAAATGCTACCTTCCTGTAAGGTTATATGAGGATACCCAATTTTAATAAACCAGTGCCTAGCACAGTACATGGTGTACAAAAGATACATATTATTATTACTTAGGGTACAAATTTTGCTTGGGTCTATACTGCATAAAAATGGGCTGAAAATAGATTTACGATGGCAAAGAAGGTATCAATTTTGGAATAAAATTAGGACACTTAATTTTGTGTCATGTCTTACGCTAAGCATGTGACTCTGAAGCAGAGCCTGTTATTTCCGTTTTATAGCTGAAAGATCTGAGGTCTGGAGTAACATAGGTAGGACACAGTAGTGCCAGGATTCAGAGACCACACCCTTAACCACTGTGCAGCACTGTCTCAAGATGAGGAGAGGCCTCTGTGCGTACATAAAGGATGGCTGATTGAGAGGGGTATAGCTACCATGCTTACCTACAGACACCAAGAGTGAAAGACCTGAGCTCCCTCCCTTCTCAACTTTCCTTCCCTTAGGTCTCTGTGAGTTTGTATTTTCTCAGAAGGTATAAAAGCCCTCTCATTTGCAGAAACATTGAAGGATGCTTGCTCTAAACTTCAAAGTTTCAATATTAGAGCAAGTATCACTTTAAAGTCCTCCCTTGCAGGATCACCTTGAGTTGCAGGCCAGTCTGTACTATATAATGAGTTCAAGGCCTGCTTAAACTAGATAGAAGTCCTCCATTACACTAATCGTGGTTATTACAGCCAACATCCAACAGCCTCAGTTTTTGAACTTCCGTTTTCTGATAGCTGAGACCTGTGGCAATACCTTCTTTGTATTCCGCTGGTTGTCAGTAGCGATAACCGCGAGTCTTTCCTGTCCCAGAAATAAGTTTTGCCACATTCTCGGTTCACAATGTGCTAGAACACTACAATCTGTACTGCATGAGTTTCTGCCACCTCCACCCTTCTGTAATCACAGCTCCATGGGGTTAAAGTGTCTGCTGAATTCTCAGAGTAACTGGAAAAAAATATAGGTGCCTAAGAACAAGATAATGATCTAGCGCTAATATAAACAAACATTACATTACACCTAAATTGTTCAAAGATTTTGTACTCAATATTTTATTCAGCAGAACATTTTTTATAACAATAAGGTTGATTTGAAGAAGTTCTGAAAATGCTCTAAGTTAGACAATCTGATTATTTATCTCGAGGATAAAAAAATAAAGTGGGTGATAAAATGGGGTGGGGGCAGAAGAATTAGCAATTGATGTCAAGACCTAACAAAGAGTATTTGACACTATTTTCATTGGTGGGTTAAATCTAATCAAGTATTTCTCCTTTTTATATCTGTTTTTTTTAACCACTGGTGTTGTCTTTTTGTTTCTTTTTTAAGGGCTCCTAACCAGCCTAGGCCCACAGCAGACTCAAAGTGCTCTCTTTTGTTTGTTACAGCCTAATAAGGAATTCTGCTTAGGATCTTTGTGGGGTTTTTTTGGTTTTTTTGGCGGAACCGGCGATTGAACTCAGGCTCTTGCACTTGCCTGGGAAGTGCTTATTCCACTGAGCCATCTCCCCAGCCCCTGCTTAGGATCTTTGAATACCTTTTTACTGTTTCTCCAAGGCTTCAGCGAAGTCACACCTGCCTTGTACAGTTCAGTTTTAGTCACTACATCCCTTCTGACCTTTTTGCTTCTGGGATGGGGGGAGGCTCTTTCAGTACCCTGTCTGCCAGCTTTGCCCTTGTTTAGGTGCATGATGTCTTCACAGGCAGAGTGGCTAACCCAAAAACACAGCGCAGCACAAGAGTGCTACTCAGAGGCCGCCCTCTCGCCCCAGGATCTGGCTGTAGTGAGGGGAGAAGAGAGAAGGAAATGGGGTTTGCTTGGCTATTCACTGTGCTTAAAAGGGGAGGAACTTCAAGTAAAAAAGGGATGCCTTACAGGATGGTGACCAGAATTGCAAGCTCAAACAAGCATCGTCTTCCAAATGGGAGTTTGGGAAACAACATTAGGAAGACAGATATGTGGAAGCTTATGGTTTTGTTCTTTGTATCAACCCTAAATATTTACTGAAGCTAGGAGAAGAAAAGGCAGATTTTTTTTTTCTCTCCCAAACGTGTGATTGTTTAGAGCTTAAGTGCAACATCTGGAAGTCAGATATACAGAGAGCAATTTATGGAGTGTGAAAGATTTGAAATATTCTGTGTCCTTTAGTGGGAACTCAACTTTCTGGGGCTGATTTTTTTTTTTTTTTCAAGCACAAAGCAGGCAATTCTGAGATCCCTTTTGCCTCTCTGAATTAAACCCTTTGTGCCTGGGTCCCATAAACAATGTGCTTTTTAAAGAGGACCCTCCCTCCCAGCTCTGGCCTTTTTTCCAGTGTAGGCAACCAATCAGCTGCAGAGAGCTGCATAGCTGGAGCGCTTTCCATTCTGAGCAGCAACAACGTACTAATTTGATGCACACATGGATGCCTCGCGCACTCTGCAAATTCATCACCAGCATCTTGCATTAGTCATCTGATGGACTGCCAAGTGTTTCATTTTCCTTCCATGTGACTTTATTATTACCACCTCTCTGCTCTCTTCCAAAAACCTCCAAAAAGGGCGGGGAGTAGGGTGGGAGAGACCCGGCAGAAATCCAGCCCTGCCTTTCTTTCCCAGCGATAGCCAGCACAGGGCTGATAATGCTGCCGATGCGTTGATGGCAGCCTGCAGACCGAGACTAGCACTTAACTTGCAGCTGCCTTCTGAGCCGGTTTCCGAGATGTCCACGCCCTGGGTGACAGGCAGCCCAGTGCTGCCCTGTGCTCTGGCTGCGATGCTGAACAGCAGCATGCAGTGAAAGCCTGGCTTGCTGCTAAGGAGCAACCTAATGGTGCCTCTGCTTTGTTTTAGTTCATCAAATTTCTATGATTCATTAGGCACTTTACCCTTGCTCCTCTTCCTCCTTCCGCCTCCCCACCCTCTCACCCCCCACAATTTTTTTTTCTTCCTGTCCCTCACCCCGCAGCCCTAACTCTGGCTCCTGGTTCCGTTTTTGACAGTAACGGCACAGCCAACAAGATGAACGGAGCTTTGGATCACTCAGACCAACCAGACCCAGATGCCATTAAGATGTTTGTCGGACAGATCCCCAGGTCTTGGTCGGAAAAGGAGCTGAAAGAACTTTTTGAGCCTTATGGAGCTGTCTACCAGATCAACGTCCTGCGGGACCGGAGTCAGAACCCTCCCCAGAGTAAAGGTACAGAGTGTGGACGCATGGGGCTGGGGCTACTCAGGTGTCTAGGCGGGCTTTCGGGGTATTGAGAGCATCCCTGGGCTGACCAGGGCCACCCAGGTCCCTCAGCCTGTGGGAGGGAGGGAAGCAGCGAGGGAGGGCGGGCAGCAGAAAGGGAGGAGGATGGCTGGGAGCAGCTGGTGCTGGCAGCCCTTGTGCTCTGGCTGCTCCTCCAGGCTCCTCCCTGCGCTCCCGCCCGCCCACTGGGACAGTTGGGACTGGAGAGGGAGAGAGGGCCAGAATGTGAGCCTCTGTCCAGGTGCCTGATTGCTCCCGAGAGACCACTTTCTAGCAGCACTGGCTGTTCTTGGGTGGGGTGGCTGCTTCTCTGAGGACCAGTGTTTCTCAGCCTTACATTTCAGGAGCTAACTCTTTCTGTGCTATCATCTCATAATTTCTCATGTAACTACAATGGTATTTTATTGTTTCAAAACTGTGCATATGGTTCCACTGGTGTGAGGCAGCTAGGTTTCACTTTTAGGAGGGACCTCAAACCTTGGTGACTAGGTGGGAACCATGAAGTGAAGTGTGTCTTTTGGTGCCCTAGGAGTGATGCCCTAGTGGCTTGAGGTAGTTAGCACACCTTCGAAAATGCTTGAGGTTTACGCCCTTATCAGTGGTAAGATTAAAGTATGTAAGAGCTGGTGGTTGTTACTGCCTCCATTTTAAGATGATGGGGGTGGAAGTTGAATAGAGGTCAGGAACCATCGTACCAGGCTGATGCGTCTGTGTATTTCAGTCCTACTTTGGAAGCTTTGTGCAGGCTCAATTTCAAGTATCTCCTCTGTTGCTACCACTAAGTCCATCACTATTTTAACCTTCTCACCTTAATAATTTTGTTATTTCTCTGTTGTTGATCTTTCCATCTCTACTCAGAGCTTGTCTGTCTTTCTGTGGATTTTTTTTTCTTTCTGCCTGGGTATTTCTGATCTATCAGTTATTTTATTTTTCTGTTTTACATCATATAAGAAACCCCATTGTTTGACTTGCTCATACACTTAAATTAAGCACATAAAGAGCAGCACAGTAATTCTCTCTGTGCCTTTTGATTACAGACAAGGTGAAAGATAGAACTAAGAAATCCTTAATACTCACATCCTGCAATTCTGAGGAATATTGGGCTATCTCTTGTTCCACGTAGTTGCCAAGATTTAATCAGGCTTAGGAAGATTTTTTTAAGGACTTTTAAAGCTCTTAGCCAATCTTCATTTTGTAAAGATGAACATACCATCAAATTATAAAACTCAGGTTTACTATCTTAAAATATTTCATGTAAAAAAGTTTTCACAAAACAATAGAATTGTTATTACAAACTTGATCTATAATTTGAAAAGCAAAAAATTGCATATCTAAAAATTATTAATATCAAACTTCATAAATTAGCATAATATTGAGGGCCATTAGTGAATATCTTTGGAAGCTATTTAGCTACATATTTTCCAGCTGGAAAAGCTAGTGTTGATTTTATTATTTTCACAGTATCCTACTAAGGAGAAAAATATAAAGTATGGGACTAATAAGGAGTCACCAAAATAAGGGCCCTCCTGCCAGTTAGAATAGCACCTGAAAGAAAACTAGGCCAAAGTAGCAACTATATTTCATCTTGACCAAGAAGATATGACCAAATTTTAGATTATCAGCATTTTTCAAAATAACCTCTAACAAGATAATCAGAGGCCTTTTGAGTACATATGTCTTCCCTTGGCCAAAATGTCAAATAAATACCTTTGCATGGCCTAGTCAGTTCATAACTTTCTCTCATTTCCTGAATGTCCACTGAAGCAACACTTTACCCAGACTCTATATGAGACTCTCTGTTCTATTAACTTCCATGTATGAGGTGTTCTAACTAATTTCATGAAAATAGCATGCAGAAGCTCAAGATCTTGGAGAGGAAGAGAAGCCTGGTGAGGGAACTAACTATTTTGAGCACATGCTCAAATAGTATCAGGCACTCTGTTAGGAGTTTTATATATACTCCTAGAGTTTTTACTACAATCCTAAAGTAAGTGGTATTAGTCCTTTGTACAGATAAGAAAACTAAGGCTCAAAAGAGAAGAAATAGGGCTGGCAGTAGAGCTCAGCAGACCAAGCGATTGTTTAGGTAAGTGCAAAGGCCAGGGTTCAATCCCTGACACCACATGCCACACCTGTCCCACATGGTGGCACACGCCTGTAATCCCAGCACTAGAAAGACAGAAATCAGGAGGATCACTACCAGTCTGAGCTGCATAGTGAGACCCTGCACAAAAACAAAAACAAAAAAAAACTTTTAAAAAAAGGAGAAGAAATATAGCTAAATATAGTTTAACTAGCTAGCAAGGAGAAGAGGGAGATTTGACCACAGACCTCCTGTTTGTGTGCACCAAACCATTTTGCCACTCAGTGAGATGAAATCCAAGATCGGCTGTGATCTGCTACATTTCCAGGCTTAGGTCAGAGCCCTTCTCTTTACCTAATTGAAAGGAAAAAAAAAATGCATACTTTAAGATCAGGGTGGATTTGGATTCTGTATTAGGGCAACATTTTTAGTTTCATGGCTTTGGATTGTACATCACTTCAGCCCATGGTGTCTTGGAATAGGAGTTACCATGTAATCATTCAGATCTTACCTTTGGAAATATAGGTCAATTCCCATTACTGTGAACTCCAAGTCTCACATAAAATATTGCTTGAAATACATGGGCTGTCAACCAAAGCTTGAAAGGTTTTTTTGTTATATAGACATCTCTGTTGTAAAAGTATTTGTTGTGATGGGATTTGGGCTGTATAATGACATTCCCCTCAGAGGATTATAGCGCTTAGCTGCTTAGGCATAGAAAGCTACAATCACTACTTTCCTTACGTTGATATCTATATGTGCCTGTTCATATATAAAGTAGAACACTAAATTGACAGAAATGATTCTGTCAGCAGAGTACAATTATCATGTTTTCATGATAAAGCCTCAGAGACTAGAATTATTGGAGGCAGTATCTAAATGTAGTTTAATTATCTCAGTAAGAGTTTTAGAGTGGTCTTGATTCATCACCTTCGAGACCTTGATGGTTCCAAGAAAAGAGACGGAGTTAGGCCATTACTTAATCCAGGTGAATTAGATCTTGCTCACCGCATTTTATTTTCTGTTTAATCATAAGGCATAGAAATATTATCCTGTTTTCATCCTTTAAGAGTTACAGTCTAAGCTGTTTCTTTTCCCTATAGATGTATGTATTAACAAAATGGGCTCAGAAACTCTGGGAAATATGGGTAGGTAAACTATTCTATCTGTAAATGGTGAGATAATCCACATAGTAGGTAAGGACATGGATTTAAAAATCAGATAAGCCTAAATTGAATGCCTGGGCTCTGCCAAATAGTAGGTATTGGGCATGTTACTTAATCATACCTAAAAGCGGAGATATTTCTCCTAGTGTTGCTGAGGTCATGAAACTACATGTTTTGCAAAGAGCTAGAATGTGGAAGGAGTTTGTTATTATGGAGATTATTACAATAGTTATTATTATTATTATCATCACCCTCACCATTTCCAAGGATTTATAATCTGATAAGCACAATAAGGTGAGTTTATAGTAAATATACTATAAAAATGTGATAATAAGAAAGAAGCAGATGGGCATGTGGTGAAACTGTGGAAATTCAGAGAAGGAATGAATAATCTACAGTTAACAAGAGACAGAAAAAGATGGCATCTTTACCAAATGCTGCAAAAAAATAATAGTTTCAATAAGTGAAGTCCATGTTGAACATTATAAATGAGTACGCTGGCCCGACTTAAGCAACTTGGTTAGAAAGTGCATGGTGTATTCTGAGAACTGTGAAATCTCCTAGAGTTCAGAGAAAATCTGTGAATGAAATGAAAGAAATTTAGGACTGGCAAGATAGCTCAGCAGACTAAGCGCCTGCTTAGGCAAGCACAGGGACCAAGATTCAATCTGCAGCATCACATTCACACTGGCCCTACCCCAGGGCACACTAAGATGACCATTGAGACCAGACATGGTGGCACACACCTGTAACCCCAGCAATAGGGAGGCTGAAAACAGGAGGATAACTATGAGTCTGAGCTGCATAGTAAGACCCTATACCAAATGTATTAAAAGAAAGAGGAGAGAGAGAGAGAGAGAGAGAGAGAGAGAGAGAGAGAGAGAGAGAAGGGGAAGGGAGGGGAGGGGAGGGGAGGGGAAGGGAAGGGAGAGCAGAAACAAGAGGGAGAGAGAATTTATAGGTTAGACACAGGTTTTTCTTTTTTAGGATAAAATAAATTTAAAAAATTTTGCTTGTTTTTGTTAGACAAAGATTTATGAAGGCTACTTTCACAAAAAGAAGCTAGGAAAATGGTATAGTGCATTGACTTGTGTTGAGAGAAGATGCTGTCATAGAAATGGAAAGGAGCTGAGTAACCCTAACATAACACTGGTGGAGGGCAGAGAATTTAATAACTGAATTGAGACAATGATGACAGGAAGGTTTTGACTTGATGGAAGAAATGAAGAAGGTCAACAATGATAAGAAGGGAGAAGAGAAATTGCTAAGCTTAGTTTTGATTGTGTTGAGTCTGAAGAGTCACAGAGGACTCAAGAAGGATGTAAGCCAGGAAAAGGTATTGGACTTTGTGACTAGGAAGATGTAAGAATATTTCAGAAGGGTGAAGATTAAAGGAGAGAGGAATTGCCTAGGTATGTATGTGGGCTGGTGAGCCCCTTTTCTAGTGGTGTAGCCATGAAAAAAGAAAGCTTAGACAACCATTTTCATTATTTTTATAAATTTTTAAAAGGGAGAGCAAAAGAGATCATAAAAGTGTATAAATAGGGGCTGGGGAGATGGCTCAGTGGAATAAGCGCTTCCCTGACAAGTGCAAGGGCCTGCGTTCAATCCCTGGTTCTGCAAAAAAAAAAAAAAAAAAAAAAAAAGTGTATAAATGACCTGAGTCAGGGTCCTGAAAGAGAGAGAAGAAAAAGTTG